AACCGTTTGGCCAAACCTTTTAAAAACAAAAACCCTTCCGCCTTATGGATTGGTCCTAGTCTGAAAGTTCAACCTTTTTGTTCTGTGGCTTTCTGGGGGAAGTACGTATAGAAAGCGTACTGTGTACCCAACGAATCCTTGTTCCGATCACTAAAGTCAAGATCCTTAGCGAGACACAGGAACCGCGTCCAGAAGAAGGAACAGCTGGATCATCAGAACTTCATCGCAGAAGCTCGTATGAGTTGAGCTGAGCTTCTTTACAGGGGCCTGCTGTGCAAGGCATGTGTCACACAAGTAAGGTTTACAGTTTGCATTAGGGGCTTGGTGAGTGTACTTTCTTGTTTTCTTGCTGAATGTTGGCTATGGGGAGACTCGCAGCACAACCCTGCCTTCTATGTGAGTCTCAAGCCTCCGAGGCGTGCGTGCTCAGAGCCCAGTACTACGGCGCTCTGAAGCACGCTGCACGCAAAGCTGAAGCGTCCAAGACGAGAAGAAAAGTCTACCTCATGCCCTTGGGAGGCCTCGCTTCACTGTGCTTGGGTAATCCCCGGCGCTCACATTTTAGGTAAGTCGAGAATGGGATTTAGTTCGAGGACCCAGATTGAAGCCGTGCAGTCCCCTTCCCTCACGCCCTACATCTGCGGCGGCAGGCGGCGTCTTCAACAATTCGTGGGAGCTGATCGCCAGGCATGTGACTTTCCGAAAGAAAGGCTTTGGGTTCATGGCAAATCGCACACCCAAATCACCTGCATAGCACAATCTTGGATTTTTGGTTTCCGGCATGAAGTGCTCCAATGTAATATGTAACAGTAAACTGAACACTGACTATTAGCCGTTACGGTTGTTGTTGTGTTTGTGACTATTGTCAGTAATATCACGATTGTCAACTAATACCTACTCTTGAGGGGTTTTCAGGATCTCAAGTGTGAGGGTTAGGTTGCAGTGCTTAGGCTGCAGACTTGCTTGGTCTTGAGGTCTTCAAACCTCGCTAGGCTGTTGCTGCCTGGTCCGCGGTTTACGATTTCTCAGGGCTCCTTGATGTACGTACAGTAGAAGATACCCCAAAACCACATTCGAACAATAGAAAGAAGCCGCTGTAGTCGGTTTACCATGTACGTTTTGATTGCTAGAAGCTGCTAGCCTTGTTTTAGTTTGGTCCGCTGGGAAGCCGCAGTCCTCAAGTCAGAGTAGGATCCTCAGTCTAACCACCCCGCCCGGACAGATACACCTGATCTTGAACAAACACCCTACAAGACCCCCCCCCTAGTATTACTGGTATAGGGTTTACAGGGTTCAGGGTCGGACGGCCTCGGAGCCCTTTCTCTCGCAGGAGCATGGCGACCGCCATCGAGATGCTGGAAGACCGCGAGTTCGAAAGCCTGGAGATTCATCCTTTGACATGGTCTGGGTCTGCAAAGGAGAAGTGCCCTTTCTGCGCTTAGTCCCTTGGGCTTGGGGCCTGACAGGGTTTGCGTCCTTGGCCTTATGACTTCAAGTTTTAGAGCTTCTGAGGTGAAACCATGAACCGTTCGCCTAGTCCAGTTTGCAGTCGTTTTTTGGAGAAAGGGCCCCAAAACCGCAGCTGAGGAGCAGTCTGGAGGCGACCTTCAAAGCGTTGCTCCAGAAATAGACCCCAGGTCAGCCGGGCGCCAAGTAGGGTTTAGGGTCTTAGGGCTTTAGATTTAGGGTTTAGGGATGTCTAGGGTTTAGATGCGTTATATAGAGTTTAAGGTTTAGCGTAGGATTTTTCGCGCTGGACCACGATTCCTGAACCGCCAGCACAAGATCCAGCAAGTTAAGCCCCGTTGTTTGATGAAGCCTTACTTAAGGCTTGCGGCAAGCCCTAAACACTAAAGCTCCTAAACCCTAGGCACATCAGATCCCAACAAGTAGATGCTAAACCCTTTCAAGGACCCTGCCCAAACGTGTCATAGATCCAACACTAAGGCTACCCAAGAAAATCCTAAGCTTGTGTTACACCTTACATCCTACACTCTAAAGCTCCATTGGAAGCCTACTTCATATCAAGCACAGCTTTTCTGTTAGCTTAAGGGAAGCCCATATGAGTATGCACTCACCAATTTTGCCGGGGGGCCGTGTTTGTGTTTATCAAAACCGTGATGTCAGCCCGACTTCCGTCACATACACCCTCACCGCCCTCACCACCTAAGCACTCTTTAAAGGACACTATGAAGAATTAAGAATCCCAGAACTTCGCGAAACCTTCAATTCCGAATCTTACGCAATCAACGCTTGAATCATGTAAAGACTCCATAAAGCCCCGCTGCAGACGTCATACGGCCCGCTAGGTCTGCCTCGGGGAATGCCACCTTTGTGAGGTCGAGGCTGCAACGTCGAGATGTCTCTACGGTTTTCTTCTGTTTGCCGCAAGGTCCTTCTGGGTTTAGGACGTGCTTGGTTTCTGTGGCTGCTGACAGTTTCATAGGTCATCTGTTTCTGAAGGAGTCGACTTACATCCTGTAGATTTCCATCGCCTCGTCGCTAGACTTCCTAGATAGTAAGCCGCCATACCTTTCTTCTTGGAACCTGACTGATCTGCGCCTTTGGCGGTGTCTTCTTTCACAACTACCCAGTCGCCGCAAAGAAGCTTACCCAGGTAAACACCCGAAGCCTCAACAACCTAAGCCTTAACTCTCTAAGCCAGCAACCTGACAAACCAGCCTCTCAACCTGGTGGACTGCTCGACCCTATACCCCTTCAACGAACCTGTCAGTATCACCCAATGCTGCTTGTCGAATTTTTTCAAGCCTACATCTCGAGGGGGCACCGCTAAGTCCCCAAAGCCCTACCAGTCGATTAAATCCCAAGCGGCTGACCCTGAAACCTTCAAGCAGCCCAAAGGCCTTTCCACGTCTCTTTGGGAGGTAGTCCCTGAACCCTAAACTTCCCTAAACTTCCCTGAACCCTAGACCCTGAAACCCTCAACCTAAGCCCCAAGCTCGGGCAGTCCGCGGCAGCGTGCTCAGAGGCCGAGGACTGAAGCAGCAAAGCGAATGCTGCTGGTTTCGTAAACTTCTGGTAGTCAGCTAGTCTAAGCGGCAATTCAATTTACTTGAACATAGTCGTTGCCCCAGACGACCGCCCAGAATATGAAACGCTGAACACGCCAGGATCGAGCACCGTCCAAGCCATACCGTTCCGGGTGCAGGAGAGCGACAAGTCAAAATGATCTCAAGATATCCATATCAAGTTTCTGGATGGGCTGCCATGAGATTATGACTTTTCCTTCCTGCATACAGTTATGGCAGATTTTTCAGGCAAATGAGTGATCTTGTCGTCCTGAATAGTGTAAGGATAACCCAAGGCCAAAATATGCGAAACCACCATATAGATGATAGAAGAACGAAGTCGATTTATTTTGTTTTCTATTGATAGAATCTAATATATTTGGCGGTGCCCGAGGTACAGATATGATATTCAAACAGTCTCGAGTTTTGAACAATTTGACCGAATGTTAGATGATAGAATGATAAGAAATAGATGTGTTGAATTTTATTTCATATTTTTTCTAATTAGTCTGAATAGAAAGATGATGACCTTTCCATAACTGCATGCACGTTAGGCCGCGTGTTGGCTTTGCGGCAAGCTCTTCGGCCTGTATGGCTGAGGTATATTCCTTCTGCGGCTGTATTAAACCCTTCTTGGAGCCATATATAACCCTGCCTAAAAAAACCCTCGACATTCCTGAATTGAGGGGTATGGGGTTTCTCGGAAGCTAGCGGGGCTTCCCCAGTTCATCGCTAGCTGCATGACCATTCATGACACGGGTTTGGGCTTGAACATGGTGCCTAGGGCCTGAAAACTCCTTGTTTGAACCTTGCAGGATAGAGCTTAAGGTTTAGCTCCAGAATTATTTAGGGCTCCATGCCCCAAAGCTTGAAAAGACTTCTGTTCAAGATCAATTGCGCAAGAACTTAGGGTTCTTTCAGCTAGGGGAGACCGAAGACTCGATTCCGTCATCTGCAATGAGGCGTAAAGGCAGAGAGTAGGGCACATGCAGAAGCCCTTGACATTATAAACATTTACAGACCCAAAATACCAGGCCTCAAAGAAGTTTGCGAACTCGGAACTCGGTAAGCTTCCCTTCTTGACCAATTGAGGATTCTCGCCATTGCTGCGCAGCATCCTGGTAAGCGTGTAGCACTACACCTGGGGCAGGGGTGTTGTTCCGAAAATAGTCCCAGTGATCTTGGAACAAGAACTATACCACACAGGGAAAGACCAATTGCTGAACCCTTGACCTTAAAGCCCGAAGCCTTAACTCTGACAGTGCTATGAATCGTACTGGGAATGCGGGGGCGCGCGCGCGCTGTGACGGTAGTACTGTGCTGGGTCCTTACTTGGATCGCATGACATCCAAGCTGCAGTTTGTCGCAGGCATTTTGCAGTGTCACGACAAGGGCAGCCAGACAGTCGGAGGAAATGCGAGCCAACTTTCTGATGGGTTTCTTGCGAAATCAGTTTTACGACTTCAGTGCCCAACACTAGATTATACTCATAAGACAACACTTGGCCACTTCTTTTGGCGTTTCAAGTCGCTCTAAGCTTAGCTTAGAGGCCATGGGGGCAGCTGAGGAAGCACTCGAACCACAGGCCGGGACCAGCGCATAGTCGAGAGCATGCAGAAATAGCATTCTGATTTCGGGATTAGGAGTTTAGGAGAAATCTTCGAATCCATGCACAGTTTGTCGCAAAGTAAAAGCTTGCGAGGATGCGGCAGCCCTGTGTGCCCACGGCTGGGAAAAACTCAGGGAGGGCAGGCACCTGGAGGCCCTGGCTGATTTCTGTTCGGCCATCGAGCTGAACCCCAAATGCGCGGAGGCGTATAACAAGCGTGGCATCGTGCGGCAGATTCTGGGCCTTGATTTCGAGGGCGATTTCGATATTGCAGACCAGCTGAGCCAAGACGATCCAAAGCTCAGAAAACAGCTGCTGGACTTCCGCAAGTGGCAGCCGGCGGGCTGGGAGACGGGACGGATGGAGGCCGAAGGCGAGAAGCATGCCAAAGATGCAGACTTCCTAATCTCTTTCGCCAGCCCAGACACCCAGCAGAACAACAGGATCCTGCACCGGCTGAAGAAAAGTGTCCTCTTCAATGGCAAGATCAGCGCCTTGATGAAACAAGCCATATCGCGTGTCAAGACAAGAGTATAGGGAGCACAGAGCGGCTTGCAGTTTCGTGAGGCCCGGTGAGCTTCTGCACCGACCGCAGCTTGGGCATGGGCGTGCACATCGTGCCGGGAGAGGCATTGCGACGATTCGATCCGAAGTACAGCAGTCTCGACGACCCACGACAACCCGGCGACTTCCCCAACTGGTTCAAACACTACCAGCAAGCAGCCAAGGAGACCAGGCATGGCATCTTGATTCTGCAGCTGACAGAGGGCTACTTCAAGTCGGTGTCTCAGGTGATTCGAGAGAGACTGAACCGTCAAATTCTGTTCGGCCGGATCTGTAGAGCACAGACTGCCGTACAAATTCGCAAATGCACCCTTGAGGTCGAAAGCCTGCCGCTGGGAGTTCGGCTACCTAAGGAAGCCCGAGCTTGTTCACGTCTTCGTTAATGGCGTGGACGGCCCCCAAATCGTCCGCTGGGAGGACTTGACGACGGACGCGGCCTTGTGCAGTCGGGCGTTTGGTATCGGAGGACCCAGTCAGGAAGCCTTGCAGCAGGCAGCCGACGACATGTTTTCTCAGTCAGCGAAGGCCGATTTGGCACACGAGAAGGTGGTTGCTGCCGCGGACTTGGTGGAAGAGCAGGAGTACCAGGCGTGGTGCGCGCTGCCGCTTCGCGAGGTGGCTTTTGCTCTGACCCGGAACCAAGAGAAGACGGAAGCCGGAATCGAGGCGGCTAACAAGCTGGCTACGGTGTACCTGGATACTGGGCAGGCCCAGCGGGCGGCAGAGCTCGGCACCCGAATGCTGGAGGTGGTGGAGGAGATGCATGGGCCGGAGGAGTTCATGGTGGGCAATATCCTCAACAACCTGGGCAATGCATATGGGAAGCTCGGGGACTACCAGAAGCAGAAGGGGTTTCTGGAGCGCAGCTTGAAGATCAATGAGCAGCACTACGGTAAAGAGCACACGCAAGTGGCCATGACACTTCACAACCTGGGCACTGCATACGGGGAGCTCGGGGACTACCAGAAGCAGAAGGAGTTTCTGGAGCGCAGCTTGAAGATCACGGAGCAGCACTACGGTAAAGAGCACCCGGAAGTGGCTGGGACACTTCACAACCTGGGCACTGCATACGGGGAGCTCGGGGACTACCAGAAGAAGAAGGACTTTCTGGAGCGCAGCCGGAAGATCAATGAGCAGCACTACGGTGCAGAGCACCCGGAGGTGGCTATCACCCTTGGCGACCTGGCCGATGCATGCGGGAATCTCGGGGACTACCAGACGCAGCAGGAGTTTCTGGAGCGCAGCCTCAAG